GAGTGTTGGGTAGTGTCGTGAGGTGAGTGGAGAGCTGTTGCCAGAAGATAGGGTTCGGGGAGTTAGGTGCATATAGGGAGTAAAAAGAATAGCTGTTGGAGCCTCTTTCCCGAGATCGTCACGTACCTGCCTTGGGGGTCAGCAATTAGCGGGCATGAGGTTTTCAAGATGATGGCTACCTCTTTAGACTTAGTGTCAGGTGCATTGGCTAGAAAACTATGTTTATAGTAGCGGTTGGTGAGTGGGAAGTGTTTGTGGGTTGTGAAGTGGGTTTCTTGTTTCTTGCTGTCTGTGCACCCACCTCTTCCTGGGTGTATTCAGCCCCTTGGCGTTAATTGAGGTGCATTTAATTTGTATTGGCATTGTGGCTGGTGGTAGGTGTTGCTTCCGGGCTTTGTGATTGGTGTGTGCAAAGAAGAAAAAAAAAGTTGGGGGGGGAGAGGTAGAGAGAGGGGACGTGTCCCAGTGGCCTGGGCCAACCATGTTAGAGAGGGCAGGGGGCTACTGGGCTTACAGTCTAGGCCAGTAGAGTGTGGGTTCCATCATCTGACCGCTCCGCTCTAGCTGCGGTTGGGGATGGTGGTCAGTGGGGGCGGGGCGAAGGAAAAGGCGAATGTCTATGGACAGAGTCGTAGTCGGGCGAAGTCCTATTTTTGGGAGCCATAATAATGCATTGTCAGTAAGTCTGCCTGCGCCCATATCCCCCACATCGCCTCACTCCGCCACGCCCAATGAGGGTGGGAGGTCCAGGGAAGGAAGGCACCTCACCCTTCCCCCCCGTACAACATGTAAAGTTGCGAGCAGCATAAATTATAAAACATTTAGTTGAGTAATCAACCTTAGGGTAGGCAGGGGCCCTCACTATATGGTGTAGCCAAAGTGATTGCGGTGTAGCCAAAGTGATTGCTGTGTAGCCAAAGGATGCTGTTTTGGGCTTAACCATTGACTGTGGGGTGTCCAACTGTGCTCCTCTGAGTAGCCTCATATTCATGTAACAAGAGTTAATAATGCAATGCACAGTGTACATATAAAAGTTAAGCAGGAGATCAGCACCGAGAGAGGGAGGGTAACAGGTGTATGCTGCCTCACATTGTGGCACGGTGCCAGGTGAGACGGGAGTCCCCCCTAGGTTGGAGTCAGCTTAAGTGATTTATCGGGGAAGGGGGAGTCCCCACCGAATCCCTCTATTTGTGCCGATGAAGGACATGGAAGGGGTTCTAGGCTCACTAAGGAGAGAGGCCGATCTTTAAGTGGGTTCCCGGTTGCTTTGAGAGCGTATAGAACCAAGTAAGCAGTTAATAGGGAGTGGGATAGAGGTGGACATGGGGGATACAGTAAGGGATATATTCTTGCTCTTATATCAGTGTTATGCTCAGTTTCCACATTCTGAGTATTGGGGTCAGTTCAGCAATCACTCGCCAGGCTTGTTGTTGTCCAGTCCAGCAGGTGAGGGAAAGCTATCGGCAGGGCCGCCATCAGAAATTTTGGGGCCCCTGACAAAGCACAAGGTCCATTACACACAAACACTACATCCATTACACACATTCTAATTCACTTCCACTATACACACTGTGACAGATCCATCTGTATAGACTAAGATTGCTGGTTCGTCTGTTTTACCTTGTTCGTGGAATTACCCGTTCATGTGCCCCTGTTCAGTGAATTGACTTTTCCACCAAACAAAACTACCGAACGGACGGCCACCCAGAAGAGAAGTGTGCTGCTGGTTAACCTCTTGATCCCAATTAGAACGTTGTGGTTAACCACAGACACTTCTCAATTAAAACCGAATACAGGGTGGTCGTCGTTCGTATGTCGACCACGAGGCGGCGGCCATTTTAAACCATGCGAAAGACCAGTGGTGCTCGGCATTGATTTCATGAAACTGAAAACGGACACTTTTTCTGCCGAACACCGCTGAAGCCATCGACCTCCCTTCTCAATCGACAGAAGGATGCGAACACCGGCCGTTCGAGAGGTTTAAACACACGAATGGACTTACCCCAGATAGCCTTCCCATGGAGTCAATCGCATACCGAAAGACTGTAATAGACTGACTCCATGGCGATTGAATTATGCGTATGGGATCTGAGCGCTATTCGCCAATAATATGCACTCAGATCCAGGCTATCTGGGGATACGTGATACGAATGGGTAGCATTTGACAAATGTAAAGTTATAGATTTTTATATGTTTTGCTGTGTTGAATTTAAAATGGTGATTTGCCTCTGTCCTGGAGATAATTAAATTACTTCTCAATTATCTCCAGGGCAGAGGGGAGGGAATACTAATGCATTGTGGGAATGTTCTGTGTCTGTGAGTCCTGACCTGCCATATGTCTGTCTATTGTCACAGTCTCCCATTTGGTCCCCTAGGGGAGTGTCCACCAAGTGGGAGACCTGCATAAATACGGGCAGGTAGCCCACAGTAAAGCCAGTTTTACCCCCAATGCGGAGCTTGGTCTCGTTATTGGGGGGATTTATTACCGATGACTAGAGACTGCTGGATGGAATTATTAGCCGCTTGGGAGATATATGCGTTCGGCTAATATTGGTGGTTCATGAGTTTGGAGCTCGTGGAGTGAAGTGCCCGTACGGATCCCGTTCGTGAGTTTACAGTGTTTCCCGGCTTGTGGTTCGGATGATTGCACCTGATACGCATGCAGCCTATGCCATTGCGAGAGGGGAGCATTCACTAAACAGCGGTTTGTACATTTAATGCTGAGGGTACCGTAACACACCACATTCAGTCCTGCATCATTGTGAGCGGACTAGGTAGGGCGTGGTAGGGCATGGTAGGGCATGGTAGGGCGTAGGCGGCCCACCCAATCCCTCCCTCCCAGGCCCGCCCACGCCCTACCTAGTCCGCTCACAATGATGCAGGACTGAATGTGGTGTGTATAGTGGAAGTGAATTAGAATGTGTGTAATGGATGTAGTGTTTGGATGTAGTATTAGATACTGTTTGTGCAGTGAATGCAGAGTGTGTGTTTGTGTAGTGGATGCAGTGTGTATAGTGAACGCAGAGTGTATTTGAGTAGTGGATGTAGTGTGTGTACAGTGATGTAGTGTGTGTTTGTGTAGTGGATGTAGTGTTTGTATGTAGTAGATGAAATGTGTTTAGTGGATGCAGTGTCTGTAGTGGATATAGTGTGTATTAGACGCAGTGTCTGTGTATAGTGAATGCAGAGTGTTTCAATTTGTGGTGGATGTAGTGTGTGTACTGTGAATACAGGATGTTTGTGTAGTGGATGCTGTGTGTACAGTTAATGCAGAGTGTATGTTAGTGTAGTGAATGCAGAGTGTGTGTCAGTATAGTGAATCCAGAGTGTGTGCATAGTTTAGTGAATGCAGAGTGCAGAGTGTGTGTTAGTGTGTAGTGAATGCAGAGTGTGTCAGTGTAATGAATGTAGTGTGTGTGTTAGTGCAGTGAATGCAGAGTGTGTGTAAATTTGTAGTGAATGCAGAGTGTGTGTTAATGTGTAGTGAATGCAGAGAGTGTGTTAATGTGTAGATAATGCAGAGTGTGTGTCAGTATAGTGGATGCAGTGAGTGTGTTAGTATGTAGTGTATGCAGAGTGTATGTTAGTGTATGCAGTGTGTGTTAGTGTATGCAGTGTGTGTGTTGTGTTAGTGTATGCAGAGTGTATGTTGTATTAGTGTATGCAGTATGTGTATTAGTGTATGCAGTGTGTGTGTAAATGTGCAATGTCTAAATTAAATGTAAATGATATTCCCCCCTCTCTGCTTACCTGTGTCCAGGGAGGGGGAAATTCCATCCGTGGTAGTCCGGTGGGGGGGGGCACCCCGGCTCCCTGTTACCACAGAGGGGGCCCAGGCAGCACACAGCTTCTGCTCTCTTCTCTCTTCTAATAACTCTCGCGAGACCCGGTTACCATGGCAACACTCCGCGGGTCTCGCGAGAGTTATTAGAAGAGAGAAGAGAGGAGAAGCTGTGT